AGATTCATGGCTTAGGGTTAAACACCTGAACAGGTAAGTCTCCGGCATCCAAGGTCAACATATCCGCCGGGCCAAGGGTCAGGTTGGCCATGAGGACAGGCAAAAGTTGCGGAAGCCTCTCCTTATAGTGGGTAAGGTTGAGGGTTTAGGGTTTAGGGTTGAGGGCTTAGGGTTTAGGGCATGAGCATGATTACCTTACACCGTGGGAATTATGGTACTAGAGTAGATTAAGGTGATGCAGGATGTGTAGTATCAATACTACTTTTCAAAGCGCATGGTAAGCCCTATATAACCCCCAATCATATTGATGTTTTGCTTGTCTTGTCCATTCCCTTAGCCCCAGAATGTTGGCTTCAATTTCCCAACTCCTAAATATCCAGTCTTCACTTCCTACCAATCCCCTCCCCCTGGTATTGAAAACCTCCTTTCCTTGGGAACGTTTAATAATAATATTGAGGGGGGGCGGGGGGGTTGATATAAGGGGGACCCTAACCCCTAAACCCTAAACGGGGGGGTTGATATTAGGGGGTGGGGATTAGCAACCAGCAAGTCTCCTGTAGGAGCGGATGAAGGGCAGCGGACTCGGATGTCAAGCGCCACACCGCCAATGCCTCTCGGCGGACATCATCCTCCGCGTGCCTTGCTTGTTAAGCCGTGATTTTTAAGGTTTAGGGTTCATATCATTTATAGGGACCATACAGGCCTATATAGGGGCTATAAAAAGGTAATGAAAAAGAGAAGGGGACTACAGCAGGCAAACCCTACACCCTAAACCCTAACAATCGGTGAGATGCTGGCAGGCGCCAAGCATGAAGTTGAGGATCATGCCCACATGCTCCGGAGTAAGGGCCGCCCAGCGCTGCTCAATCACAGAGCAGAAGCCTGGTTATATAGGGTTCTATAGGGTTATATAATGTTATTTAGGGTTTTTCTCCCATTAATGGAGCATCAAGTGGAAAACAGAATGGAAAATGCAATGGAAACTGGGGGAATATAGGGATTTAGGTACCTAAATTGCTTAAGATACCATACCGGGTACATATAGTAATGAATATGGCTTCCCCAAAAAAGTAACTTAAGCTAAATTCCTTAACACCCTATCAACTACTATACATATATGCATACCTAATGTGCAGTAACTCAATCTAAGCTTCTTAACAGCAACCCAGAAGCCCTTGCAGGCATTCTCCATCAGGCCCGCATCCGTGCTCATGGCCAGGGAACCTATCAGAGGGCTCCAAAGGTGGGATAAAGCTAGGTGGATTAAAGGATCCCTATTGTAGATTCTACTTTCTTGGGGCTTATTTCCCTCACCCCACCTACCTTCATCCCACCCTAAACCCTAAACCTTTGGCCCGCTGAACCTAAGGACTGAAGGAACCGGCCCTGAAGCCCTGCTCCGGCGGGCCACTTCCTGGTCTGTTTTTGAAGAACTTAAGCTAAGTTCCTAGGATTTAGGGTTTAGGGTTTAGGGTTTAAGGGTTTAGGGTTTAGGGTTCTGAGGAACTTAAGCTGGGTTACTGTAATAGTAAGGAAGGCCTCCATGATTTACTTTCTGCCCATAGCATGGTAAGTTAAACCCGAAAGCCTAAGCTAAACCCTATGTACCTATTGTTCGGATAACTTAATTAGTTTAACCCTAAACCCTAAACTCAACCCTATATACCCATAGTCTGGGTAACTCAATTAGTTTAACCCTTAAACCCTAAACCCTATATACCCATTATGGTAACTTAATTTAAGTTCCTTCAAACAGCAACCCAGCTTCTCTGAGCTAAATGCCCCTTGTACCAGGAAGAGCTCGAGAAAATCCGAGGCCTGCTTCCGGAGCCAGGCCGGTAGCTGCTCATCGGTGAGTTCCATAGCCTGGGTTTTAGGGTTTAGGGTTTAGGGGCTTAGGGGTTTAGGGGTCGAGGGGTCTAGGGGTGTAGGATTTAGGGTTTAGGCTTTAGGGTTAGGGTTTAGGGGGGGACTGGCTTGCTGCTAAGCAGTTTAGATTCGATTATTATTCTAAGGCAACCCCATTATTTACTACATACCCATACTATTATGTAACCAACCCTATATGCCCATATACCCATATTGTGGTAGCTGAACCCCTACACAGCTATAGCATGGTAACTTGATTTAAGTTCCTTAGCAGCAAACCCTGAACCCTTATAGTAGTCTCCATTTTCTTGTCCATTATCCCTTTGTTACCCTATATTAGCCTTTATTACCCTTAATTTCATCAGTTCCTTAATAGCAACTCAGTAGCTCTAGGCATCAATTTGGAGCAGGCCATTTGCACGAAGGTATCGTTCGTGCCATAGCCCTGTGCCAAGAGGTCCTGGGAGATCAAGGCCCAAAGCGCGAAGGCCCTAAAGCCTAGGACCCTAAACCCAAGATCCCAAATCCCTAAGCCCAAAACCCCCCAAACCCTAAACCCTAAAAGCCCTTTCCCCTAAACCCTAGCCCTGTACCAAGAGGTCCTCGGAGATAAGGCCCAAAGCCCAGAGGCTTCCTTCAACAACGTCAGCATTGTTGACGTAAAGATTCTGGAACACAGCTCCCAGAGCCTTGGGATGCTGTTAAGGCACTTTAGGGTTTAGGGTTTAGGGTTTAGAGCTTAGGGATTTAGGGTTTAGGTTTTAGGTTTTAGGGTTTAGGATTTAGGGTTTAGGGTTTAGGCTTTAGGGTTTAGGTTTTAGGGATTTAGGTTTTAGAGTTTAGGGTTTAGGTTTTAGGGTTTAGGTTTTAGAGTTTAGGGTTTAAATTTTAATGAAGCTCAAGGTTTAGGGTTGAGGGTTTAGGGTTTGTGTCATAAGGAAACCCTATCATTTACTATATACTCGCAGTGCGGACACTGAAGCTTTAGACCCTATATACCCCTATGTCATGGCAAATTAAACCCTAAACCCTATATGCCCATATTATGGTAGCTTAAGTCCACAACCCTAAACCCTATGTACCCCTGCTACGGTAACTTACTTTAAGATCCTTAAAACAGCCACCCAAGAACTGCTGGATCCAGCTTGCGCTTGAACAGGCAAGCAAGGATGCTGCCTGCCGTGTGGCGGAGAGGCTTGGCTGCGTTGCCCAGCATGGCCATAACCTAGGGTTTAGAGTTTAGGGTTCAGGGCTTAGGGCGTGGTTCAGGGTTGTTGTTAAAGCAAATTAAGGGACCATAATACAGGGAAATATGGCATAAACAAAGGTACCGTGATATGGGTACGTAGGATTTAGGGTTTAAGTTACCATGACTTGAGTATACAGGGTTTAGGGGGTTAAGTTACCATAACATGGGTATATAGGGTTGAGGGCTTAAGTTACTTGAATATGACTAGATTATTGTAAACAATAGGGTTTCCTTTTTATAGTAACTTAACTCAAATGCCGTAACAGCAACCCAGTAACAGGCCCACACAAGGCTGACTCATCAAGATTGTCCTGATCTTGTTTCAACTTATTCTTCAGGCAGATGCCTGCACTTTGCCGGATGTGAACCGCCGCCTCAGACTCCGCAAACACCCAGACCAGGGCCTTGGTAAAGCTTGGCCTCTTGCTGAACTGCTGCATTGTCTGCAGGACCTTCTTCTGGACCTCTCCATTGGGCACCAGGGACGCCTCCAGCAGCGCGCATAGATGTTGAGGTGTGGGATCTGCATCTGCAGCAAGACCCGTAAGCCCGGCCAATTCGCCGGGCGCCATGGCCATGCCAGGCATGTTCGATGTCTGCTGCTTGTGCTTGCTGTATGCTGCGTCTATGCAAGTTCTGCAGGAAGAAAGCTCCTCCTTGGAACCGCGGCAGGGCGGCAGGGCGACACATATATGTATATATTCACCTTGGCATGATGGAAAAATAAAATGGAAACTATGGCAGTATATTGGTGTTATATGGGGATAATCAAAATAAAGCGGAAACTACGAAAAGGGGTATGTATATATTGGGGTAACACTAGGGTTATATACAGACTCCCAAGCCCAAGTCGCAGCAGCCCTGACGTGCTCGACTCTCAGACTCTCAGCGGCGAAGCCTGAAGTCGATCTCGCTCACCCTGCACCTTAGCAAGGGCACAGATTTGGGCTCCCTAACTAAGCCCCAAAGGTTCCAGGCTCCCCGGTCAGGCTGAATAGTGCAAGTGAAGGCTAATTGAAGGTACCTCGTGGTTTGGAGAACCCAACAAAACATAGTTCAAGCTTCGCTGAAAAACGGGGCTGCTGCTTTTACCAGAAAGCGCGCAAAACCTCCTCCTGCACATGTATGCCGTATGCATCATGGTTCCTACAGAACCTTTGAAAAAAGGGCATTGATGCCACATTTGCGAAGCCCTCCGGCTTCCTGCTGTTGGGATGTCACTAACTGGTCCAGCTTTACATTCCCGGCAAAGCTGCGGGATACGGTCCTCATATGAGCTATAGTCTAAGCTCCTAGTATCCCCCTTAATAACCCCTATAGTAGTCCCCTATATAACCAACCCCTTTTAAGGAGTTTAGACTATAGCTCATATGCAACAATGACCCAGCAAGCCACAACAATCCGAGGCAGAACATTTGCGTACCTCAGGCATCGGCTAAGGAAAGGCGAGCCTGGCCACTGGGTTTAGGGTTCCGGGTGGCTTTTCTCAAGGACGCATCTGCGAAAACAGCAGGTGACAATGATTCTGTAGGCTGCTAAGCGGAGGACATGGGTTCTCCGGCCACACATCCGAGTCACGGGCCTATCTGCTCAGCTTCTACGGTAACAGAATCAGCATCAGCACGACACAAACTCTAGACACGACGAGCCTTGCCATCAAGAGAAACAAAAAAGGGCACCAATTTGGTAGGCCCCAGATCCTGCTTGAATGCACCGTAGCTCTTCGAAACAAAGTGCGTGATGCAGTCTCGTAGAGACACCACGAGACAAGATTGTTTTGTCAAGTGCGAAGGCTATGTATAGGAGGAGGAGACTTCTCGCAGACCCCAGGCAGCACCCCTAGCAAGCTTCCAAGGCCTAGGACTCTAGGAGTTTGGATTTGGGGCTTAATTAGTGCGCAACACTTAGAAGCAAGAGCCCAAGACCCATGATCAAAGGTCAAGGACCGAAAGCGTGGGAGACAGGTGCCTCCTAGATATCATGGAACTACACGAAAGCTCCGTCCAACCAGAACTATTTCTCGCGCGTTCCTGGAAAAGATGGTCCAAAAGGCCCCTAAAAGCTCAAGACCTGCAACTGCAGTCTGCATTGTCTGCACCCTACACCCCCGAACCCAACAGCCTGAGCCTGCACAATCCTTGTTACAACCCTTTATAAGCCTTGGCGGGATCTCCCGCCTTAGATGTGTCCATTTTCTTTTCTTTGTTCTCCTCCAAATCCTAAGCCCTTAGGAATGTGGTCTGACAGACTGTAGGGTTTGGTTACCCCGGTATGGAGTATAACCTACAACTGTAAACACTAAGAGGGGCACAGCAACCTTCCGAATTTCTGCAGGCTTCTGCATGGCGGTTGTTCAGAAGAACTGTCGACGTAAAGGCCAAAAATTAGTTTCCCTTGTAAGGAAGTACATAGTTCCGATGGTCTCTCTTTCTTAAAGACCATTGAAGCGAACCCAACATCACCCCGGAGGCACGGTTTGTGCCTCCAGCTGGTTCGTCTTGCGACGGGCTGTTTGAATCATCGCCTGCAAGCTGGCGCGGCTAGGGTTTAGGGTCCAGTTGCAGGGATTTGGGTTTAGGGCAGCACTGTATTGCTAATGTATTTCTTGGAAACGCGATCACATGTGAGACCGAGAATGCTGCCACGAATGAGGAGGTACACAGGGAGTGCGGAAGAGGGGAGACGGAGAAGACTGAAAAACCAGGAGCAGATTTGTACCTCCAAACAAACCATACTCTAAACCCAAGTGGCTCTTCCTGAATCCTTGTAGAAGCACGGACTCGTAATTATTCAGGTTTCTACATTAAATAAGCCACTATTTAAGCCCTGTCCCCACGTCATTTCCCATGTTCATGGGGATAATAATCTTCTCCCCGCAGTGTGCACGGCTTTTCTTCCGTGGCGCCACACAAACCTTCCGATGCTCGGGCCAGGAGCGTCTTTGACCTTAGCAGATGCCAGTTTCTCGTCAGGGGGTGTCAGGGGATCTCGAATCCCTAAACCCTAAACCCTAGACTCTAAACCAACAGGGACTGCCAGGTGAGAGAAAAGATGCCGGATCAGGTTTTGGGCCCCTCCCTTCGGGCTTGACGTCTGAGGCTTGGCGCTGGCTGATAGCTGGCTGGGGTCCGGCTGCAGGCTAATCCTTCCGATTGTAGCCCAAAACTAAAGCCTCGAGCCCTGGCCAAGAGATCATTCAAACTTTGCCCACATAACATACCAAACAACACATCTCGTTGATGATAGCTGTTTACCTTGGGATTACGCTGTTATAGTGATGTTGCATAGGTCTCCCCACAGTCCTGCCTTTCTTGACAGCTCTGGGCAAGGCATGCACCAGAAGCAAGGTCTCGACACTCAAGCGCAAAAGGGCTCCACCAGCATCACCAGGAGAAAAGCTAACGTACAGGGGCCCACATGGAAAGCCCAACAGGTTTAGGCTTTCAGGGGTTTAGGGATTAGGGTTAAGGGGTTTAGGGTTTAACAGGAAACCGTGGAGCCTGATTCTCCTGACCACAGTATGCACTGATACTCCGTATTGTGCAAGTTTGCCTGACTCCTAGCTAAGGGCCAAACATTCGCTTCCACAAAGCAGGAACTCGCCTTGCCATGCATATCTTAGAAGGACCCCCCACCCTGTAATAGTGGTATAATAGGAATATAAGAGGACCCGAATATAATCCCTAGTATCCCTTATAGTCACTATTACTGGGTGGGGGGTCCACCTAATGCATATCGGTCACTACGGACTCTGGGCACACCTTGACGAGGACACATGTGGATTGGGGACCATGACCATTTCTTACATGCATCCTCTACTCAAACTGTTGCTTTGATTGGTTGCAACCCCACCTAGTCCTTGCATACCCTTATGTCATTCCCGTTGATTGAGCTTAGACTCTACCTTATACCTCCAAGGCCAAGCAAGTGCAAAACATGCCAGGTGAACGACAGCGGCCGCACCTCCACAAGAAGCAGAGCTACACATTTGGGACTTGAGATGCGTAGTTAGAGTTGCAACTCCCACTGTGGGAGTCCCTACAACAATCATCCTTGCCTTCCATGGGGAGTCTAGAAAAGGAAGTAAATGAATTCTGAGACACATCCGTAACAGTTGATTGGCAGAGGGCATCCGTAACTCAAGGTACCCCACCTCAACCCCCATCGCATGTGCTAGTGACTGGTGAACTTAGTAAGGTATTGCACTGCAATCAAACAATCGAATCCTTCGCTGCTAAGCCAGAATGACACAATGCTTTGCTCCGCTATCTTCAAACATGCCCCTGAGCTCCCAACTCATGTCTGGGTACTGTAGATTCATCTCCAGTGGTACCAGAACAAAGGGCCCACGAGTATTGCATGCTGACGAGCACCAGCTTGTTTACCTATTGGCGCGAAATGCGGACTTCCACTCCAAAGTATGCGCCACCAGACGAATCAAACTGCCACGTACAGGAAGAGGAACTCAGCGGCCAGATTATTACTGGTGGTTAGTATGGAACAAAGGGAATTAAACTCCCAGATTATCCGGATATAATATTCCCTTACGCCGTACTAATCCCCAGTAAGTAATGAGGCAGTTGGGAAACATTCAGCAATCAGCAACAGGCAGAACGTTGGCAACCTTTAACCAAACCGTGACACCTAAAACGGCGTAGCTCCATATACCAAACACAAGTAATATTCTGGAAGCTCCAAAGAGACAACCCCAATTCTTGAAAAACTCCACTCTTCATGACCCCATGTAAGCTCATATAGCCCTAGATCGCCCCCCGTGTACCCCATTCTAGAACCCGGAATAGCCCACTCTATAACTCTATACAACCCATTACGTAAGCCTATAACCCTGAACCCTCGCCACTAAATAAACTTAAATAAACTCTAAACCCTCAGCCATATAATCCTCAATCCAAAACCCCAAACCCTAAACCCTGAACCCCAAACCCTCAACCCTAAACCCTAAACCCTAAAACTCA